CATCAAATAAACGCTGTTCTGGAAAAGGCAAAACTATGGGGACAGTCAACGGTCCTATGTTTGCCAAGGGCTCACGAGGAGGGAGGGAGGAGTGGGCAGAGCAGAGGGGATTTTCAGGACAGAGAAACTCCTCTGTGTGCTGCTGTGACGGGGGATGTGTGTCATCACACACCTGCCCAAACCTATGGAAAGACAACTCCAAGAGTGAGCCGAGGTGAACTACGGACTCTGGGTGAGGACGACGTGTCATGCTGGCTCATCAGCTGCAGTAAATGCACCACTCTGGAGGGGACCGGGTCATGAGGGATGGCGTGGGTGGGGCGGGGGACATATGGGAACTGTGCACTTTCCACTTAATTTTGCTGGTTACCTAAAACTGTGCTAAAAATATTAAGTCACACACACACACACACACACACACACACCCCACACACACACACACAGGTCACTCAACCACCCGAGTCTCAGTTTTCCTATCTGGAAAATGAAAGTGAAAATAGTTGCCCAGGCGTGCGTGGGCCGGGCGTGGCCCCATGTGGAGGAAGGCACAGCTGGGACACGATTCCCATACGGGCTTCCTCAGCGCGGCCGCCTCCCAGGAAGCCTCTGACCTCCCCAGTCTACTCAGGAGCCTGCAGCTTCCCAGGCAGGTGCTGCTCCTACAGGCAGGGCCCCTGCTGGGCAGGCACCACAGCGGGAACACCAACAGATCAGAACACCCAAAGCAAAAGTGCTAGGAGTCTAGAAGCTCCTGACCAGAGAACACCCAGCACCACCCTTCAGCCTTCTCAGTCTCTCCTTGAAGAACAGTGAGGAAGCCCAGGAACCGGAGGTCAGAAGGGGCCTGGATCTGGGCCAGCAGCATGAGGTACGGGGTGCGTGGATAACGTGGTCACAGCCCTGGTCACAGAAGGATGTGAAGACCACAGAGGCGGCTGCGGGGAGAGGCTGGGTCAGAGCCACCCACCCACCTGGGATTAGATGGAACCTGAAGGAGGGAAGGAGATCAACCCCTCTCAGCAACAAACCAGACACCACCAGGCAGAGCCAGGCATCGGGGTGGCCCCAGGGAGCTTCGGCTGGGGATGCGGCAAAAGCCATGGGCCGCCTGCTGCAACCAGGAAGCCCCTGAGGTCCAAGGCAAGGGGTGCTGTGGGCTCTGACGGTGACTTGAGAGGAAAACCGGACTGAAACTGTGCTGGGTCCCAGCTCTCCTATGTCCCGTCAAGGTCCTTTTCACCATGAAGACCTGCCCTCGACAAGCACAGCTTGGCCGTCCAGACAGCAGGAATGGAGGTGCTGCGTGCGGAGGCCGAGGACAAAGACAGGGCAGTGGTGGGGAGCTGCCCTCCTCGCCCAGACCTACCCATGGTGGGGAATTGTCCTCGCTCGGACCTGCCCTGCATCCATCGAGCAGACTCCAGCCCCAGCGACTACACAGCCTGGACACCACCACGGCGTGGCCACACTCAGGCTGGACAGGGTCCAGCTCGGTGGCCTCTCCTCTGAGGGCTCCTGCGACTCAAGTCAGGCCCAAAGCATTTTGCCCTCAGACCACGCAGGAGAATGACAACTTGAAAGCAAATAGCTCGGAAAGATTTCCCGGAATTCCTGGGACCCAGGCCATCCCCACAGACAGGCCATCCTACAGAACTGTTTGGGGGCTTCGGCAGTCAGGATTCTGCCTCTGAACTGTCCCCACGAGGAACAAACGATGCACTTAAATGGGATAACCAGAAGTGCAGACGTTCGGCACAGATAAATCTCAGGAGAGTATCGAATCGGAAGGAAGACAAGCGTAAAAGTCTCTGATGATCTCGTAAGAAAGGAAGCACACAGGCATCTTTTAAACATTTCATTATAAACAATGTCATTCTTAAGGCACACAGCTGCATTTCTCAGAGGCCAGTGGTTTAGAGTATGTTGCACTCCCCATCCACGGAGTTAAAAGCAAAACACTCCATGTTGTGTGATAAGGGTCAGAAACTGTCCACTCCAGCGTGAATATGCTGCTTTCAATCTCTACTGAACACAGTGCTCTTTTAACAAAGATATGTGGTCAGAAAAGTAATTTCACAATAACTGTTCTCTAAATGCAAATGTGATGACTTTTTTCTTGATGTTAGTCATATGAAAAATGCTAATTTTACTACCAGTTGTTATCTTGAAATAATCATGAATAAAATAATGACCCGATAATCAAATTTCTGGCAACAGCTGTATCTTTGAAAAGACCTTCCTGAGTCAGAGGTTTAGACACAGCTTCAATGAACACTGGGCTGTGCGCACGGAAGCTCAGGGGTGAATAACTCTGTATTTTAAACTGAGAGAGTGAATAAAGGCAGGCGCCCTGGCGCATGGAGATGTATTTTCTCAGAAATCCCCCGGGCGTGCTGTTTGGTGGGTGGGAAACGGTCGCTGTGTGGAGGTGTCTGGCTGTATCTCCAGACTCACACAGCAATAAACAGTGAGTGCACAGCACGCCTTTCAAACCACCTTTCTACACCCCCCATGATACCACAACCCCTTCCACGTACCCCCCTTCACAATTCCTTAAAGGATTCTCCACATTAGGTGTGTGGGGGGCCGGGTGTGCACATGTCGGGGTGGAGGGGTGGTATCACGGACCAGGCTCGTCTTCCGAATGAGCATTTGTCCCTCTGCCGCATACAGCAGAACAAAAGGAGAGAGGAAATACTTGCTTAAAATGTTATATATAATTGGCAAAGCTTAATTTTTATGTGTTGACTACGTGGAGAGGTCACATTCAGCCTGCGTTGACGGCGAATATTTTAGAGAATGTCAAATTTACTGAAGACTTCCTTGTTGAAAAGAAAGCCATCAAATTAAATAGTGTTTAAATAAAACAGATATTGCTTTAGAAAACAACAACTGCAGGTGGTTTTGAAGTTATTAATGTTGGTAAAATAACATGCGAATGGATGTTATTAATGCTGGTTTGAAGTTATTAATGCATTTGGTTTGAAGTTATTAATGCTGGTTTGAAGTTATTAATGCATTTGGTTTGAAGTTATTAATACTGGTGAAATCACATTTGTTGCATATCTGTTTAATATACAACATCCCCAAACAGCAGCCTGGTTTGGTTGTAAAAACCGGGTTGCCTGACATATTTGAGGAATTGCGTGTACCTCTTGCAACTATATTTTTCCAATTCGAACACTGTATACACACACCACTTATTTTCTGGTTATCCAGTTCTGTTTTAACCATAAATAAATTGACTTGGTTTAAAAAGCAACATTCATTACTTGCAAGTACTTACTGTTGAGTAATTGCTGCAAATCGGGAGCAAGAATTAAACTTAGTAAAATAGTCCCTCACTGCCCCACCAGCCATTGGACTGTCTCCATGAGCTAAAGCTTTCCCACAGCTGCAGCTGCTCCCAGTGAACCTCTCTGCCCTGGGCCACAAACCCTGTGAGAGGCTGGCGTCTCCTAACTGCTCTTCCGGAGAACCGTGTCATCCTGCGTATGAGCGTATGAATGGCATGAGCGACAGATGACCCTGGCTGCGGAGGCCGGCACTTGTTGCTAAACGGCAAGCGTGATTCACCAAGCTGGAGAGCGTCCCACTGACTTGCTCTGCTTCATGAGCAAATTAAAGGCCACAACAGACCATTTTAACACTAAACCTCTGTGTGGAGAGGCACCGAGCTCTGGGAACAAAATTATGAATGAAATAGTCGATACCCACCTAAATATGGACAAACCAATAACAGCTTCCTATTGGCCACGCTCAGTCCTGTACAGAGTATAACATTTTAATGTAAGATATTTTGGCCATTTATAACAGGAATTTTTAAAGCTAGCAATCACCTAGACGCCTAAGCTAGTACATGCTTTTACCGACATTCTATTTCATCAGAAAGAGGCTAGACAATACCATTTAAAGAGGTGCATATTTTTGCACGAGGTAAAGCAAAAGCAAAAAAAAAAAAAAAAAAAATATCAGCATAGTAAGGCAAGAAGCATGAAAAGAAAAACCCTCCCAAAACACACTTGACCATCATCCTGTGGATTGTGCAGGTGCCAGTCACTTGTTACAAAGTTCCCCACTGCTAAAGCCTTTTGTGGACGGTATAACCCCGAGACCTCGGGGATCGCAGAGACCCTCATCAAAATGTGTGCACTCGGAGGCACTTTTCCTCTAAAATCTCAGCAATTCCCATACACTTAAAACCTGTCTCTTCAGACAGAACAGAGGACAGTCCACTCGGTCAGCTAAATCTTGGAATCTCTGCTTTTGAAGAGGTTGTTGGTCTTAATGACAAATATATGGCAGCACTTTGTGGCATCTCAGTCAAACATCTTTCCCCTTTTCTTTTTATCCTATTTAATGCGGCTGATAAGAGGCACCCAGTCTGTCACTGTACTCGGCATTACAAAAGAAGCTGTCTCCACAGGCTTCTCTCTCCATTGCTTGCATAGAAAAACACAGGTCTTAATAGCTGCAGGTCCCTGGATTTACTCATTCCCAAAGGAGTACTGAAACCAGCAGCCCGGCTGCTGCATCTTTGCTATAGCAAACGGAGAATAAGCTGGAACAGCTCCTGCATTACAAATTGTTCCGGTATTCGGGGATTATTGGAATAATGGTTAACTGAAGACTGAACTTGTCTCCTTAGAATTACAGCACCATAGTTCTGGACTGCTGTACAAGAGCTTTTCCCCCAAAGCTTTCTGGCAATTAAGATGCTCCCGGGATTGCAGTCATCCTAGTCCCCCCCACCCCCAGCTGCTATCACAACGTCTATCAAGAGATGAGTGCTTTACTTACAAGAAAGGCACAGGCACGACCTGCGGCCAGGAGGGAGGGCGGGCAAGGGAAAAACACGCTGCCAAGTATGGAGGGAAAGCAGCTATCGGGATTAACTAGTTGAGTGCTACCAGCTGGCCACTGTCTACCTGACACCACCGCACCAGGGGAAGTGGATGTTCCAGGTACAGAAAGTCAGAAATGAGTCATCCTTGACTTACCGAGGAGAGCCTCCTGCCGCTCCGTCTGCAGCATCCAAACGCCGAGTGCAGGAGGCGTCTGGGTGGACTGGGAGACCTGCACTCAGGGAAGCTTGCACATCCTTGCAAGAGAAGCAGGCCAAGACGACCGAGCGTGCCTCCGAGGCTCCGGTCAGCCACAGCCTGGACCAGGCTGCCACGGAGCTCTGCAAACCAGGCACTGCAGCAGCGTGGCAGGCACAGGACTGCGATGCATGGCCCATATAGTCAAGCATAATAGAAAACATGGATCTGGAGTCGACTCCATGTGGATGTGGGGGCTGCTTGGTGCAGAGCAGGAGAGGCGAGCTCCTTCCTCGTAACAGAGTTAGCCATGGAGATGGACGCTTTAATTACCGCGCACTGCTCTCCCCCAGGATATCAATTACAGAAAGCAGGTGCCTCTATCTCCTGTTTTTTTTTTTTTTTTTCAGACAAATGTCTATAATCTCATTTCACAAATGATCCTTATTTAGACAGGAGCCACCTATTGTGATGATATCATTTGCTCTAGTAGCCATAAATGGGCAACTTCCTAGGGAGCGTCACAGTGCTGACGACACGGGTCTTTATAAGAGTGAGTGGGCAGGGTGCTCGGAGGGGCCCCGTCCGCACAGAGCAGCTCCTCCCGGCCACGTCTCGTGCTCCCTGGTGTCTGAAAAGTTCCAGAGGAGGAGGAAAGCCCTCCACGGAAATGGCTCAGTGCAACCTCCAAGGAAGTCCTCGCCAGGGAGGGAGAGGGAAGGGAAGCAGTTTGGAGCTCGCTGAATCTGCAGCACAACCTGCCGCCCACGCGGGCCCCTGCTCCCTGGGACTCTCTGTGGCAGTGACAGTTTGGGGCCTTTTTGCTGCTGCTCTTCTTGGAAGTAGCGAGACTCCAGCTCTGCTCCCCCCGAGTCCACACAGGTCTCACCCCGTAAAACACACGGCTGGAGGCGGGGATGCAGATGAGAAGGGGTGACAGGATCCTTCCACAACTCACGGGTGGCAGAGTTCTAACTGTAAATTCTAACCGGCAGCAGCGGTTTTCCCTCCATAAACACATGGAAGAGACGATGAGCTGGGATTCACTTCTATACACACCTCAGCTTCCACTGCCCAAGCCTACAAAGAAAGCTAGTGGTAGAAACCACAGTCGGGCCCACATTGGAAAGAGCAAGGCAGGTGTTCGGGCATATTTTCATCATAAAATCTTCTAACATTTCCCCTCAACTATTCCAGTGATCTGAAGAGTTCACTTGGAACGGGCGGTGATTTCACCGAGTGGCTCACCGTGAACAAGGCTGGCTGGCGAAGCACAGCGCCAGGTCCACAGACCAAATCAGAGGAGAATCTTCCTGGAAAACAGACCTGGTGGAGGGTTCTTCATGCTGGAAAGGTAGAGGGTGCATCAGGGAATTTGCTCCTCTGCCCACCTGGGGGAATTGCTATGGTTGCCCAACATAGAGAAGTAACCACAATTCACCAATGCCTGTGTTTATTACACAACGTCAAAATATCAACACCTTGAAGGCCGGGAGACACACTCAGAACACAAGTCAGTCTCCCTTCCCTCAGATGCCTTGACTGTGAGGGGCAGAGCCCACCTCCTCTTCCTCACCAGCACCCCAGGCTGCCCCGGCTGTGGCCTCCTGCCCCGTCCCAGGCACACAGGGAGGCCAGGACGTGGAACCTGCAGGCTCCCCTCTGAGGAAAAGGTGGCCCACAAGATGCCCTGAAATATGGGGCTGTCATCACTGAGGACATTACCGTCACCAGGAGTGACAGGATGAACAGCCTATCCCACAATGCAGGGCCACTCGGATCTTCAGAATGGGAGCTTATTCGGGAATGGGGTCTTTACAGATGTGATTGATTAAGGATCTTGAGGCGCGGTCATCCTGGATTTAGAGCAGGCCCTAAATCTAATGATAGGCATCCTTTTAAGAAGAGACGCTCAGGACACAGAGACCCACAGAGAGAGGCGGCCGTGTGAAGCAGGGGCAGGGGGTGGTGACGCGCTTCCCTGGGCCTGGAACAGCAAGGACACAGCAGAGGGACCAAAGATGGAACCAAAGCCCTCAGGGCCTCCAGAGGGAGCCCACCGTGCCGACACCTTGGTTTCGGGCTTCTGGACTCCAGAACTGCGAGAAAGTACATTTCCGTCACCTTTAGCCACCCAGTCTGTGGTCACATGACGGCGGCCACGGGAAACGGATGCAGCCACGCACACCCTGAGGCTTTTCCAAGCACCCACTCCGTGGTTCACATCTGACACTGGGAACAGCTCACGTCTGACCCTGCGGAGGAATTCAAAGCCCCAGGCTCACGTCCTGAGATTCCGCTTCCAGCTCACCCAGCCATCCCGGCAACCACTTGCTTGCTGTCAAGACGTCCTTGCTACCACTTTTCTGGCCCTCTAGAGCCCACTCATACCTCAAAACCACCAGCTGTTACTACTCCTGATCCACGCCCCCAGGGCCACACGGAATGGCAATTTGCAATGTGGCCGCCCTGGCTCTCTGCACTGCCCCATACGGTCGTCCCACAGCCCAACTGCCTTCCCAAGGGGCCTGTCTCCATCTGTCCTGGTGTTCCTGTGGTCACCACTGCGCCCGCACAGACATGAAATTACCTCACCTGCCTCACCCACCTCAGCCTTCCCACAGGAAAGAGGGGGCCTTGGTCCAAGGAGGCTGACCACAGCATATCTACCCACAAGCATTCACTAGGCATTGGTGACGTGGTGGGGACACAGGAGGGAGCAAACCAGACCAAAAGCCATGAACACACCACTGCCTCTGGGGAGCTCACAGCCTAATGGAGGGGAGAAGCTCACAGCCTAACAGAGGGGAGGCAACAGGTACTGAACAGCCCACACTCACCACACACTAGCTCACAGCCTAATGGAGGGGAGGCAACAGGCACTGAACAGCCCACACTTGCCACACACCAGCTCACAGACTAATGGAGAGGAGGCAACAGGCACTGAACAGCCCACACTTGCCACACACCACGTGCCCTGCTCATTCAATCCTTCCGCAGCCCCTGAGGCTGGAGCTCCTAGGGTCTCCATCTCACAGAGGGAGAAACTGAGGCACAGAACTGAGAGAGGAGCCCAAGACTTTGGGCTCAGGAGTGCAGCTCCAGAGCTGTGCTCCTAAGAAATATGCCACCCCTTGTGCCTCCACGGAGAAGGCAGGAAGAGTCCATGCCCAGGGGACACAGGGGTCCCAGGAGGCCCTTGGGGATGGAGTATACTGGGACCCTGGGGGGTCAGTGGGCAGGGGATGAGGTCCAGCCAGTGACGGAGCCTCTCCCTGTAATTGAAGCCAAGAGGATCCAGGGCCCAAAGAGAGCTGTCACAGAGCCCCAGAGCAGAGAGCAGTGCTGCTGACTTTAGGACTCCCACTGGACACAGAGAGACGGGAGAGCGCTTATTCATGGACACATGGGGGGAGACCTGGAGAATTCTGTTTATGTTTTCTCAGAAGCAGACGCTGCTACAGCCAACATCCAGCCCAAGGTACAGCCCTGAGATGCTAAATAAAGGTTGGCTGAATTGCATTCTACCTCGAGGTTCTAACACCAGTTTTGATTAGGTCTTTTGAGGTAGACACAGGTGGGTGTGGCCATCAAGAGAAACGAACACTCACAGGTGTCAGGGAACTTACATGAAGTCACACCATAATGTGTTTCTTGATTCCTAACCCAATAATCTGGGGTGGGCCTCAAATATCACTTTTAAGATGGCTTGATCTTTGTAGCTTGTCCATATAATATAAGGCCAATCTGTCTTAAGAGGTGACAACCACAACTCTAATTTACCAACCACATAAATGACAACAGGTTAAACAACCTACTTGGTAGATGGCTATAAATGTGGATTTTAACCAGCCCTGATGAACCAGGCTCCCCCCTGCTCTCTCCAAGTTGATCTCCTCTTTGTCAACACAGTGCTCCCCATTGCTGAACCACATCAGCCAGCTAGGTCGTTGCATGGCCCCTCGAGGCTGACCTGAGAATGGGTACATGGGCGGGTATTGGAAGCCACTCTCAGAGTTCCACTGATGACTGAACTGGACTGTGCAAAACTTCGAACCCACATCACGCAGCATCTCACCACTGAGTGTGGCCTGCAGCAGTCAGGTCGCCCATTGGAGCTGTGGCAGGTGCTGGGTTCCTACAGAAATTCAGGCTTATTCTCTCAGGGCCAAGTGAGTGACTATTTGTAAAGCAACGTCTCAGTCCCAAAAGAGGGTCTTTAGCAAAATGCTGAAATCAAGACCCACTGCTAGTCAATCCAGCCACGCCCCCAGACCCACTGCTAGTCAAGCCGGCCATGCCCCCAGACCCACTGCTAGTCAAGCCGGCCACGCCCCCAGATCCACTGCTAGTCAAGCCGGCCACGCCCCCAGACCCGCTGCCAGTCAAGCCGGCCACGCCCCCGGGGGAATCCACCCGCGGGCAATCCCACATGATCCTCACTCGGGACGCAGCAGGGCAGGGTAACATCTTTTCCTCTCAAAACTGTTACGTTCACCAGACGCAGACTATCCACAGAATGTTTTCCCAAAATCCTAGGTTCACGTAGAGCCACAAATAAAGCAAAACAAGTTTTCTTGTTTTATGCAGCTTGATGTCTCTGGGTCCTAATATAAAACGAAGGAGTTAAGAACTGGAAAACGAGAGCCAGAAACTCAACATCTTTCTTTTTATTTCTCCTTAAACATCAAAGCTTCAACAAGTACTTTGTTTTGCTACATTAAATTAAAGATTATCTCCCTTTTGTTCTCTCAGTAACACATTTTAACCTCTGGTGTTAGCATCAATGAACATAGTCACAATTCTCAAAGATGAAAGGCCACAAGCTGTTCGCAAACAAAGCTAATTCAGAGAAAATGACACCGGAGGTTTTCTTGTTTGCCTGGTCCCTGCTTACATCCTCCAGAAAGACTTTGCCAGTGTTCAGAATAGAGGTTTCTAATCCTCTTTCATAGACAGACATAAGAAATCAAGAGATAGCACAGCCAGTAAGTTAGAGAGACAATAAACGAACAGCCGAATTCTTAGGCAATGCCATTTATATCCATAGAAGGGAAGAACCATCAATTAAAGACTTAGCCCTTGTGTGCAGAACCCTAACGTGAATAATGATTTAGTAAAATGGAAAATACATGCAGCATTTGAATGTTTGGATTAACGTGAACTGTACGTAATTCAAATTTACCTGTGTTAAAATTCCTGTTTCTTAATAACCTGTTAACACAGATGGCTAACTTCAATGTATGTAATTCAAATTTACCTGTGTTAAAGCTCCTGTTTCTTAATAACCTGTGTTAATACAGACAGCTAACTTCAGCGTGTCGTAACGGATGCAAATCTCACGGGAACTGTGTGTCCTAGGGTAAAAAAGTATGCTCACACTGAAAGGGTTCACAGGTTTGAAAGGTAAAACTCTGCAGTAATACTTTTACAACTCAAAGTCATTTTCATGCAGAAAAATACGTATCTCACAGTAGTTTCTCAGACTGTGGGTGTGGATTATTCTGGTGGTCCGTGAGTTCTCGGGCTTAACAAAAACTTGACAAACATGGTCTGTCTCTGTCTCTTCGAGGGGATTTATCGTTATGAAATTCTCACCTCCATATTTGGGTTGTATTCACTAGAAAATGAAGGCAGAGGATTAAGGGGGAATTGCTATTTACTGAGTTACCTACCAACTACAATTAGAAATCCAGGGGCACAATTGCATGTACTCATTGCAGCTGGTCTGATGTAAGTGCTGGAATTCCCATTTTACAACTCAAGAAACTGAGATCAAAATTAAGAAACTTCTGGAGCAATTACCTGGCAGGGTCAGAATTCAAATCCAGCTCAGTCTGACTCCAGAGCTGATGCTGACGGCAGCACAGTGCTAACGGCATCCCTGTATAAATCCACATTTTGGCACGGGTGTGTCAGTGTCCCGGCACCTTACAACTGGAGTCGTGTTTCATGACACACATTTTGCAAGTCATTAGTTGGAGTCCTGCTGGCTTAGGGGAAAAAATAAAATTTTCTTTAATAGTTCTACAGCAAACAAGAGACTAAAGAATGGCTCTTTGAAACACAGTTCCAAAACATGAAAAAAGTTACAAAATTAAGACATGTAAATAAACAAACTAGGAAAAAGAGACGGGAATAATAGGAGAAAGCGGAAGTAAACCTGGACAGAGGACACGCAGGGCTAGAGGAATTCCACCCTCTGCCACACGCACGGACAGTCATGTGAAACTACAGGACGCCTTAGAGGAGCCACAGAGGCCGCGAGTGGAAAGGCCCACGTGACCAGGCCCTTGTAAAACTATTCCACACAACACAGTCAACTGAGGTCGTTTGATCAAAAGTTATAACCAGGAACAAACAGTATGTTTTCCTAAAACAAGAATTACATTTTTCTCTAAAAACCCTCCAGTGTCACACTGAACCGCCTGAGGAAGTCATACAACTCAGTGCTTACTCAGTCGTGAAATATTGCTACCTGGGAGCTACCAAGCTCTCTCTGCTCTCAACTCCCTGAGCTGCCTCCATAAGGAGCCACTTCCTGCATCTCAACATTCCCCAGGGCACACCAAGGTCACCGCAGTTCAACCCGTGCAACCACTCTTTTCTGTAGCCGGCCAGGTATTATTATCCCTGACATCTGAAGATTGAGAAGAGGAGATCTATAGAGATTAAATATTGTGCACAAATCCTTGAAGTAAGAATCAGGATTCAAGCCCAGATGAGCCTGACTCAGATGCCCCTCTGCTGGCGAGGCCTCCTCAGTGGGATGAGCCGTGAACGCCCAGCATGGCCACGGTGCTGGTTGCGGATTCCTGGGCTATTACGGCAGGGGCTGCATCTCTAGAGCCTGCTTTGTGAAGCAGCTAGAAGACGGTGACCAACGGCCTACCCAACGGCTGTTTCCAGCATCCTATCCAGATGTCCAGCAGTGAGAAGGCGAGTGTCCTTGGCTTTAGACATTTGATGGAAAATATTAGTAGGATCATGTAATAAACAGTCCACATGTCAAATCTCTTATAAGTAATGACTACAGAGCTTCGGTAGAAAAATATTTTATCTGACTCAAACAGTAAACCAGTTAAAGTCCTAACATATTCATAGATAAGGAACCTAGATATCTTACTACATTAATATTTAGAGCAGGAAGAAGAGACTTACAGTGGAGGGACGACTCCAAATCACTATGACTCTGATTTGAAATGAAAAACAGAAAATCAATTTGCTAGTTTGATAAGTTGAAGCTACAGTTCTTAATGCACTCATCACTAAAATAGAGCTCATCAGGCCTAAACCACCAGCAAAAGGGCTTTATGTTTAGAGAATGTCATCACATAATCACACAATTGGACAATTAAGAAAAAGTGATCTCAAAACACATAGTATCCATCTTTACAAAATCTCTATTTCATAGCTTTTACTCTTGGTAAAGTTTTTTAGAAAGTTGATCCTTATAAACATCTAAAATGTGCGTCATAATATGGAACTGTTCTCTGATCATGTGGGCTCAACATTTCTTGCTGTAGAAGTATATTCAATTTTCTACATGCAATTATTGCTTCATGAGGAAAAACTATTTTTGTGTGCCACTGTCTATGAAGGCTGTTATTATTTTGTTCTGGTGCTTTTTATAAAACAAACACAAAGCATTAATGAAAACAGTTGATAATAAAAAATGTTTAGATAAGTTACGGTTTTTCCTTACAATTTGATTGTTTGAGAATAATTTAGTCTCAGTCTCCAACAGTTTTTTTAAATCTTGTACAATGCAATAATATAACACTAAAACAATGTAAAAACCATGAATCAAACATTCCAAATAATGTTAATTCATGCTGAGAATACTGCTTTTCTTTATTTAAATTAAGCAGTCAATTGTTATCTGATCATTCCTAGATAGACAACTCAAGAGAGGGATGATAAATTACTGGGCATGTTTTATTTAATTTCTATACTAATAATGAATTCCATGGAAAACATAAGTATTTGCAGAAACATCATATATTCTAATATACAGTAAGTTAGACTACTTTAATGACAGCTCTTCTGTAAAAACTTATGTTGACATGATAGGAGCCTACAAAGCCGAAGAGTAATTGGCGATTACAAATCTCAGATGCTTTTAGCCAAGAGTAAAGTCCAAGCCATTTAATACAGACACGGAAACAGTGACACGAAATGTTTTAATATTGGGTTAGAGCATACACATGACAGCGAATGACTTTTATGCATGGACCATGTGTGCATGCGTGTGTGTGTGCATGCACACGCGTGTCCGTGTGTCCGTGTGTGCGCGTGTGCGTGCATGCGTGTGTGCGTAGTCATGCCTGTAATCAAACCAGGAGAGGAAATATCCGTAGGAAGCTTCCCAGAACCTCCGGGCGCGGCACACAGGCTCAGAGGCTCCCGTTTCAGCACTCGTGATGATGAACAGCACCCCGCAGGGGCAAGCGGAAACCGACCAGGAAAAGGAAGCTGGTGTAACACATTTGTTGTACTGCTAACCACAGATTTCTTTACACAGAAAGACCCAAATAAAAGTGAAATTCATCAAAAGGATCCTCTTTAATCTTTTGGAAATTACAAACTCAACAGTACTTGCTCTAAAAGCACTGCAGAAAAGGTTCCCACAAAGAGCAGAGGAATCCATTCTGCTAGGAAGGAAAACCAGTGACAGTAATGAAAATAAAATATTAAAGTTTTGGTTCTTAAATATTATAATGATTTTTGGCTGCTTGCTAACCTGCCACAGTTACTTGCTGGGTTGCTATGGCAACATTCTTCTAGCACCCAATATGTCAAGCAGAAAGACTGGGGCCCTTTGCAATTAAATCCAGGAATTATCCCGTCTCCCCACACAGTGCACATCCACGGAATTCCTCACGGCTATCGGGCCTCTTTGCTTGGTGTGTTTCTACGTCAATCTTCATCACTCACGAGTCTCTCTCTTCTTCAGCTGCAGGCACATATTTCACTTCCCAGGTTTTAAACCCCCGGCCTTAGAGACTGCGAGCTGGCTGGGATGACAGAGCTGACTGGGACACACCTGGTCCTTCTGGTTCCTTCTCTGTGGAGCTCGAGCTTGCACAAGCTCCTTCCCTTCCCAGGGCATGAACTCACTTGTACTGCCTGTGTAGGAAGCACTTCATTCTATGTTACGCCAAACTTCGTTAACAGTCTTATGAGGAAGGCATTTTACAGATTAGAAGCCTGAGGTCAGATAGCGTTAAATAATTTGCCCAAATAGACTGGCCAGTCGCCAGGAGAGAGAAGGTTCTGCATCTGATGGGTGCGACTCCACGACATCCATGCTTCTATTTTGATTTCTTTTAAATAACTCAAAATTACAGAGCAAAACGCACAGCACCTCTTTTCCATCACAAAACTGCAAACGGCAAAGCGCATTACATATGCTTCCTTGTTTGTTACTCTACACACATGTAAATTCAAGGGGCAGCTGAACATTCTATAGCAACTCTGTAGTGATGAGAAATGTTAGCAAATTTGTTAATTAAGGAAGGTCACATTTACATTTCTCTTGAATATTTGCTTAACCTGGATATCACCTGGTTCTCTATATAGACATTTGGGGGAAGATTAATAATGAGTTTGAAAATTACAGGAATGGATTACAGCCAGTTCCATCCTCCTTACAGGTTCTGTCATTGTCCCCGTGTTTTTATAGGCCATTTTGCAGAAATGCTCCCAGCCTCTATTATGTTATAAACAAGTCAGTGTGTATAATCGAGCCCCCAGAAAACCCCTCCCTGTATTACCCAGATGAGTTATTCTAATGACCAGGCCAACTTGAAAAAACAAACTGCCCCCACTAGACCAATGCAACATCCACGGGGTTTGTTCCTATAGAAGCTCTAATGATCCCCTGGCCATCTTTCGAGGCCAAAGCTAAATGCCACCTCCTCCAGGGACCGTGCCCGTGAGCCCCCATCAGAGGATTCCTCCTACAAAATGCCTGGAATATAGTAACTCCTCCAAATATTATACTCCCTCCTCTCCCCACTGCCTTCTCTACACCTTAGAGCAAACTTTCCCCATTCCCAGTGTATGCTGCGATGCCATGCGTTAACATTACCTGTAAAAATTATTTCTTTCTTACTGCCTTTGAGTCAGGATTACAGGCTACTTAGCTTTTAAAGACCCCATGGCATTTGGCGTGGTTTTGTATGTAAAGTAAGTCCTCAGAATTTGTAGAAAGGAGGAAGAAACAGCTGAATGAGGTAAAACCCACTGGGCTATGTATGAACTTTCTACATGCATGAGAATGGGCGGAAGGGGTGGTCAGAGGCAGACCCAGGAAAGGCGGCCGGGCCCAGGCCCACCTCGTGACACGGGAGTTCAGTGCCCACAATAGGCACTCTGGGGCTACAACGCCAGGCGCAGGAGAACCACACCGGTGTGCAGCTGGCAGGTGCGTGCTGGTGGCAGGCGTGTTGAGCCTGGTTTCTCCCTCTGCATCCTTGTGGGGCATCCCATTGTGGGTAGAATGTGGGCAGGTGGCATTCCTCTGGTGTGCAAATTTAAAAATGAATAGGCTTATAGATGACGTATTTAAGCTCATTTGCTCTCATGAACCCATGGCATGTTGAAATTGAAAGGAAAAAACCCCTAGCAGACTCCCAATCGACTTATCCACTTAGAGAGGAGTAGAGCTAAGCCCTGAGGGGCCCAGGCAGGAGACCTGGCAGGTGACTGAGCAGGCATAGGACAGAGGTGAAGCCCCCCAGCCTCACATAGCCACCGTGCTGAGCGTGGCGGGATCTGCATGAAAGGAAGCAGCTTCCGTGAGTCTAAACTGTGACGTGGACCGGACGTGACTTTATTGTGGATCCCAAAATCAGTCCACTAAAGACTCCAGAAAATGTTCTATTAGATAAAATTCTACAGTAGAAAGTCTATTTCTGGTTGTGCATGTGTAAATTCTCTGTTGTGTCTTTTTGACAAAACGCTTTGCATGTGTCATCTTTATGCTGAGCAGCATTAACACTAACACAGTCTGTGCCTTTGCTTCCGAAGTGACAGCAGCACTCCCCGTGTGCCGACGGTATTGGATCATTTTGCATCAAGAGGGTAAAACGATCTTGTATGGAGAGAAGCTGCAGCCGGATCTGAGACAACAAAGTCAGGTGCCCCTCCCAGGTGAGTGCTGCTGAAAACTGCTGCATCCACGTGGCCCAGACAGCCTGGGTTCCCTTCAGTGAGGCCTCTGGAGAAAAGAAATTTCTGGGATAAAGTCAAATCACGCAGGTGTGCTTCAACGTGGCGCCGAGGACATCACCCAGGAGGAAGCTGCTCCCCTTGTGCCCTGCCCCATCGAGGGCCATCATGGAATGACCCCACCACAAAATGACTCCCCACCCAGAAATGACCCCACCACAAAATGACCCCCCACCCAGAAATGACCCCACCACAAAATGACCCCCCATCCAGAAATGACCCCAGAAATGACCCCACCACAAAATGACTTCCCATCCAGAAATGACTCCCACCACAAAATGACTCCCCCATCCAGAAATGACCTGCACCACAAAATGACCCCATCCAGAAATGACCCCACCACAAAATGACTCCCACCCAGAAATGACTCCCACCACAAAATGACTTAAATGACCCCCCATCCAGAAATGACCCCACCACAAAATGACCCCCCACCCAGAAATGACCGGGCACGTGACAGCCTCTCTCTAAGGCCCACAGGTCACACACGTTCCTCACACACTGCCGCATTGAAATCTATGGGGAAGCACATACAAAATTCAGGCCCTTTTCATCCCTCTACAGACCTCCTGACTCAAGGTCTCTGAGAATCTGCCCTTCAATCTAGTTCCTGAGAAAACAGCCAGGCAGTTTAAGGAGAAGATACTTTAAACTGTGTTACGTGTGTGATGAACTGTAAGCTACCTAAATGTCAAGATGAGGAGACTGGGTTGGAAGAATTATCCATGTACATGGGATGCAATTAGCTATTAAATTCCTGTAGTCTAAGAACACTAAGTTCCTGCGTTCAGGGACAGACGCTCCTTGGCTTATAATGGGGTTACTTCCTAATAAACCCATCGTGAGCTGAAAATGCCATAAGTAAAAAATGCATTTAATACACCTAATCCACAGAACATCACGGCTCAGCCTTGCCCAGCTTGAACATGCACAGAACACACACGTCGGCTTACAGTGGGCAAAAGCCACCTCGCACAAGGCCCATTTTACACTGAAGTGTTGGATATCTCATGCAATATTGAGCACTATCCTGAAAGTGAAAAACAGAAGAGGAGGGGCACTCATATGGCATTTACTAAACCTGTATCATGTTTGAACCATCCTAAAGTCAAAATATTGTGTGTCAAACCATGGTTAATTCGGGGACTGTCTGTATTTACAATTTATATTGAATACTTAAAAGCTGGTTAAAACTGTAGGCATACAAAGTTTGTTCCCTGAAAGTATAGGTATATGTGGTTGTGACTGCCTGCACATCTGTGAACACACGTGTGTGTGTGACTTCCGTGCATGTGTGCATGTATGTGTGTGACAGCATGTGTGTACACATATCCACATGTGTACATATGCACGTGTCTGCCTGCCTGTGCATGTGCATACATGTATGTACGTGTGTGACTGCAAATGTGTGTGCACATATCCACACATGACTGCCTACGTATGTGTGTGCATATGCACATGTGTATGACTGCCTGCACTCGTGTGTGCATGGGTCTGTGTCTATGCATGGTGTTTGTATGTCTCTGTTCATGTATGTCTGCGCCTCCATTCATATGTGCCTGTGTCTGTGTCCACGCACGCATGGGTCTGTTTTCATGGAAGGGTGTCTCTGCTTGTGTGTGTCCTGAAAGTAAATCCAGCACACTGTCAATAGTGGTTATTTCAGAGAGGAGGAATATGGAATAACCAAATATTTCCTTTTTGTATACACCCTACCTTTTATAACATAAACAATATTTACCTAACACGAGGAAAGCACAATACATTTTTACAAATAAAGGACAGAAGGGTAAATTGTATTCCCGTGTGATATTAAACAGGTTGTTTAGAAAGAAACATTCAACCAGCGGCCGCTGACCAAACGTCCCTAACCAGGAGGCAGTGGCTGGGGAGCCTCTGAGCAAGCCACAGGAAGGTGGTGTCCGTGTCTTCGAAGGCATTAAAATTATAGAAGTAGAACGGGCCTTCATCCTCAACATTGATATTTGCATAAAACTCGCCATTTTATTACACATTTCCCCCATTTGCATAAAACTCGCCATTTCATTACACATTTTCCCCATAATGTGAGAGACGATGAGTACGAAGTCTCGTGGAATTGAGGCTCAGAGACACCAATCGTCGTCGAAACATTATTGACGGCGCCCACCACAAGATGCTTCCCTCACATGTATTTTATGGGAATGGATCCTCAACGGGAAGTAACTGGTCAATGACAGACTCATAACAATCTCTTATCAATATCATTCCGAAACTTCTACAATTTATCATGCTTCCTGGAAAACCGAGGGCTGGCGTGGCTCAGTCAAATCACTGCTGTTTTTCTACCAGTGAGTCTGTTCATGCAGTTTTAAATATAGTTCTGAAATCACTTAGTCATATTTATAGGCACACTGAATTTTAAAGTCAGAGCATACCAGGAGAATATGCAATCCCAGTTACTCATTTTACAGAGAAGAAAGGCACACGGGGGAGGGCGGCTGTCCCAAGACTGCAGCTTCGGCGGCAGACCTGGGGACAGGCTAGGCCCATCGCAGCCCCGGTTCCAGGTCTAGGGTCCTGGGCGGCTTCCTCTTCTACTCACACAGCATCACAACAACCATGTCAAGGCGTGCGGTTTGAGCCCAAGGAAACACACCAAGTGTTCACCACTGTACTTTGCTAGCTAAACGTCATTTCAAGTAGAAGAGAAGGGACATTGTCTTGCACAGCAGGGGCCTTGTGGAGCATAGCAAGGCCCACCCCACACCTTCCAGAGATTCACTGTGCGCAGACGCGCAGACGCCATCACTACCTGTGAACACCTGGTGGTTGGTTTTAGACTCAGCACTTACTGAGACCAGGAGAGGCACTAATAACTGAACTGGCAATGGCTTTGAAGTCAGATGGAACTAGATTCACATTCCACCTTGATTTACTCCCTGCACGTCTGTGAGCCTTGGGGCGTCCTTTGTAAAACGGAGACGACAGCCTCACAGGACGGAGGGTGGAAGGAGAACACGCACCAGGCACGGTTCTGAGTGACCTACATGCTTTTCATAGACGTCTCACCCACACTGCAGGCCAGTTCTATCAAGTTCGTTTGTATTCTGTAGATTAAAAACCTGAGGCTTAGGGAGTTGAACAACTCTCACAAGGTCAAATACTTTACAGCGGAAATTCAGACTCAGGCAGCTTGGTCCAAAACTTGAGCTACATACAGTTGGGCAAATACCACAGTGTCTGCACCCTTGCAGGCCTTAACGGTCTAAGGTTTTCAAACATAAAAGAAAGACTGAGTTACAACTCTGTACCTAGGCTGGACATGTAGAACAATGGAATAAAACTGAGAGCCACAAATAGACATTAAAATTGATTTTTAACGAGGATGCTGCTATAGATTGAATGTTTCTGTCCCCTCAAAATCCATATGATGAAACCGAACCCCCAAGGTGCTGGTGTTAGGAGGTGGGGCCTTAGGAGGGTGATTAGGTCATGAAGGTCGATCCCTCATGAATGCGATTAGAGTCCTTATAAAAAGGCCACAGAGACCTGCCTTGGCCTTCTGCCACGGGGGGACACCGTGGGAGGCCATCTAGGGACTCAGAAGTGGCCGTCGCTGGACACTGAGGAGGCCGTCTAGGAACCAGGAAGTGGCCGTCACTGGACACCGACCCTGCCAGTGTCTTGATCTTGGCCTCCCATATCCCAGAACCTGGGGAAATAAATTCTATTGTTTATAAGACACCCGGTCCAGGCTATTCTGTGGCAGCAGTCTGAGTGGACTAGGATGTGAGGTGACTCAATGGGAAAAGTATATTCTTTTTAACAGATGATCCTGGGGTAACTGGATATCCACACGGAAAAAAAAGAAAAAAATGAGGTTGGATCTCTATCATACACCATAAACAGAAATTAATTCACAGTGAATTGTGAACCTTTTGTAAGAGCTCCAACTAGAAAATGCTTGAAGTCTAGGGGTCATTTTTTGTGACCTTGGGTTAGGCAATGATTTCTTAGCTATGACACTAAAAGAAAAAAGTGACAAAAAGCAAAAATAGATAAGTTAGACTTCGTCAACATTCAAAACTTGTGTGTGGCAAATATACCATCAAGAAACCCAAAAGACAATCTACAGAATGGAAGAAAATATTTGCAAGTCACATCACTGATATAGGACTTATATCCACAATATTTAAATATTTCTTTAAACTTAACAACAAAAGTGTAAAAAGTAAAATTATTTAAGTAAACAAAGGATCAGAATAGATATTTCTCCAAAGAAAATATACAAATGGCCTATAAGCTCACAGAGAGATGCCCAACACAATTGACAGACACAGAAATGCAAATCAAGTTACACTAAGATGCCTCTTCACACTCACTAGGGTGCCCATAATGAGGAAGGCAGACACTAGGAGGTGATGGCCAGGATGTAGGGGATACGGAGCCCTCATACTCCGCAGGGGTGGATGCAAACAGGTGCAGCCATTGTGGAAAACAGTGGTGTTTCCTCAGTATGTTACGTTTACCACATGGCCCAACAAATTCCACTCCTACTTCGATGTCCGGGAGAAGCGAAAACGTTCGTCCACACAGGCACGGCACACGGGTGCTCAGGGCCCCGTTATCCCGAACAGGCGAAAAACAGGGAACGATGAAAATGTCCATCAGCAGACAGGATGGAGAGACACAGCATATTCCATCCAGAAAATGGAATAATATTTGGCAGTAAAAAGTACTGATACAGGTTTAGCATCCCTAATCCAAAAATCCATAATCCAAAATTCTCTAAAATCTGCTTTCTGAGTGCCAACATAATGCTCAAAGGAAATGCTTGTTGGAGCATTTTGGATTTTTAAATGTGGGATCATTAACCGGTAAGTATAATGCAAATATTCCAAAATGAAAAAAAAAAAAAAATCCAAAATCTAAAAGACTTCATTTCCCAAAACCTTGGGATAGGAGGTACTCAACCTGTATATCATAAAATACAGAAGAATCTTGACAACTTTGCTAAGTGAAACAAGCCAGACCCAAAAGGTTGCATATTGTATGATTCCTTTCCTATGAGATGCTGAAAGCTGCTCCCTATAGAAAGAGAAACTCTGTTGGTGTTTCCCAGGGTCGGGGGAAGGAGAGAATGGGCAGCGACTGCCGACCAGC